AAGGAAGGAAGGAAGGAAGGAAGGAAGGAAGGAAGGAAGGAAGAAAGAAAGAAAGAAAGAAAGAAAGAAAGACTCTTAATTGCCCTTGTACTCAATAGTGGTATGCAGCTTTGTTGTGCTTAACAGAACAGGTCTACATATTGAGTTTTAGCTCTGAGAGTGGAGACTGCTCTTCCAGAGGACCTAAGTTTGATTTCCAGCCTACATGGTGGTATGGTAGCTCACATTCATCTGTAACTCCAGTTCCAGGGGAAGCAACATCCTCTTTTGGCAACAAGTGTTCCTAACTGCTGAGCCAACTCTCTAGCCCCCAAAGGGATCTGATCCAGCAAGTCATTAAAGTAGAAGGCACATAGCAGCAATCTATTAACAAACGGAAGTGGTATATGGAATATGATCAAGCCTGAGCAGGTCCTGAGGGCACAGGCAGTTTATGTGAAGAAGACGCCCAAATGCCTATGGTTTCTATTCCTGTTACAAGGCTCCCAACATCCACCTCATGGGGCGTTCCCTATGATCGGATGACCAATGAAGACAAGAATAGGGCCCAGGTTATTGATGCTCCTGCACACTGTGGAGGCATTGCCCAGAAGTGGTGAGCTATAGCATTGCAATCCCTTTCTGGGACAACACAACCCTGAGAAACTAGGGAAGGAAGGGAAGTCTTTAAAATGGCAGAACTTTGGGCAGTATGCATGCTCATTCATTTTGCTTGAAATCAGAAATGCTCACTGATTAATGAGCTGTAGCCAGTAGATCGGCTGCAGGGCCAGGGACTTGGAAAGAGAAGATTAGAAAAGTGTGACAAAGATATCTGGGGAAGAAGTATGTGAATAGCCCTCTACAAAAGGGCAAAGGGGGCTGGAGAGATGGCTCAGTGGTTAAGAGCATTGGCTGCCCTTCCAGAGGTCTGGAGTGCAATTCCCAGCAACCACATGGTGGCTCACAACCATCTGTAATGAGATCTGCTACCCTCTTCCAGACCGCAGGGGATACATGCAAACAGAACACTGTATACATAATAGATAAATAAATCTTTTTTTTTTAAGAGCAAAGGATGTGAAGATACTTTTGTCCCATGTAAATGCTCATCAAAGAGTGATGACAGCAGGGGAGGAATCCAGTAATCAATGGATATAATGACTTGTTCTATGGACAGTCAGCCTCTTTCCCCATCCCTGTCATTGTTGGTGGGCCCATGAACAACGTGCACATGATGGCAGAGATAGAGGTTTTGCGTGGGCTTGACAACATAGACTTCTACTCACCAAGGGTAATGTGGCCACAGCTACTGCTTAGTGCCAGATCTGCCAACCACAGAGACCCCTAGCATGATGCCATTCTCCAGGCTGACCATCCAGCAGGTGCCAGGTTGACTACGTTGGACTACTTTCTTCATGGAAAGGGCACCTTGTTCTTACTAGAGAAGATTATACTGGTTATAGATTTGCCTTTCCTACGTGTAATGCTTCTGCCAAAACCACATCTGTAGACTTCCAGAGTCCCTTCCTTGTCCACTGTTACATTCCACACAGTATTGCTTCTGACCAAGGAACTCATTTCACGGCCAGAGAAGAGTGACTGTGGGCCCACACTCATGAAGTCCACTGGCCTTCGCATGTTCTCCAACCATCCTAAAGCATTTGGTTCAGATATGAGTGGAATGGCCCTTTGAAGACACAGCACCGATTAGGTAGCAGCAGCCTGGAGGACTAGGGAAGGTTCTCCAGAAGGAAGTATATATTTGAATAGACATCTATTACATGGCACAGTTTCTCAGCCAGGAATCGCAAATCCAGGAATTAAGGGATGGAAAAAAGGAATAGTTCTGCTCACCATTACCTCTAATGACTCAGTAGGAAATTTTTTGCTTCCTGTTCCTAAGACTGCACGTTCTGAAGGCCTAGGAGCTTTGCATTCAGAGGGGGGACTGCTCCTGCCAGGAGACACAAGCAAACATTCCATTGAACTGAAATCAAACTCCCCAGCCCCACCACCCATTTTGGGCTTCTGATACCTTAAGCCAACAAGCAGACTAAGAAAGGAATAGTAGTGTTAGGAGGGGTGATTTATCCAGAATACCATGGAGAAATTGGGTTGCTTCTCCACAGTGGAGGTAAGAAGGATTATGTCTGGAGTGCAGAGGATCCTTTAGACATCTCTTGGTGCTACCACATCCTGTGATTAGAACCATTGGGAAGCTCCAATAGCCTAATCCAGGCAGGTTGACAAGGGGCCCAGACAGTTCCACAGTGAAGGTGTGGGTCCCTTCTCCTGGAAAAGAACCCTGCTGAGGATGAAAGAAACACAGCATGAACCTTAGAGGAAGTTAAAAGTACCAGCTAAAACTTTTTCTGGTGTTTATAAGAAGCTCATGGGCAAGGATTTTGAATTCCCAGAGTTTCGGTTTCGGTTGTAAAGTAAATGACTGAATAAAGTGTCATTCATTGTAAAAAAAAAAAAAAAAAAAAAAAGTACCAGCTAAGGCCATGTAACCAATTGCCGAAATGAGGACTATAATTAGCATAAATGCCTCTGTTGCATTTTGTTAAGAACCTGTTTGTGTGGATATATTTGCCTTTTCTCTAACACTGACTGAGATAATATCACTGGTGAAGCACTTAAAATCTGTACTACCAAATTAAATCACAAGACACTAAAACATTAAGCATTCCTAGGGACTTTGCCACCTATTCTAAAAATGTATAATGTGTCTGTGGTTGGGGGGGCATAATTTTTAGGTGGAGTTATGACCTGGTTTTGCCATTTGGAAATTAATCATGACATAAGATGTGACTGAATGTCAGGTTGACAAGGGAGTGGATTTGTGATGGCCACTTGTGGTTGTCAACTTGACTGTGCATGGAATTCAACTAAAACCCAAGCTGTTGAGCACTCCCGAGGAACTTTTTGTTGTTGTTGTTGTTTGAGACAGGGTTTCTCTGTGGCTTTGGAGGATGTCCTGGAACCAGCTCTTGTAGACCAGGCTGGTCTCGAACTCACAGAGATCCACCTGCCTCTGCCTCTGCCTCCTGAGTGCTGGGATCGAAGGTGTGCGCCTCCAATGCCCAGCTCTGAGGACCTTTCTTGGTTAGATGTTTTGAAGCAGGGAGACTCATCCTAGCTCTGGTAGCAGCCCATATCAATGGATGGGGAAGAAGGAAACTGCTTTCCATCTGCTTGCTCTATCTATTCTGCTGCTGCAGCACACTGTCACCATCATTAGAGTCCCCGTCTTCCGGATGCCAGCGTAGACTGAAAATGAGCAGCTGGTCAGGGATCCTCCAGGCCTTTGGTGGCAGCTTGGAACTGCTGTGACATTCAGCCTTGTGAACTGAGAAACTCCTGGATTCTCAGCCTCTCCAAAATGAAACAGTCATTGTTGGGCTACCCAGATCACAGCCTGGAAGCCAACGTAACACATTCTCTTTTAATATATATGTATGTATATATATGTATTGGTACATGTGTGTATGGATATGTATGTATGTATTCGGACAGTTCTATTCCTTAAGAGCAGTGGTTCTCAACTTGCCTAATGCCATGACACTTTAATACAATTCCTTATGTTGTGGTGACCCCCAATCATTTCACTGAAGGCTGGGCCATGGTGGTGCATGCCTTTAATCCCAGCAATTGGGAGGCAGAGGCAGGAGGATCTCTGTGAGTCTGAGGCCAGCCTGGTCAACAGAGTGAGTTCCAAGCCAGCCAAGGCTACACAGAGAAACCATGTCTCAAAAAACCAAAACAAAAATTATTGCATTGGTATCTCATAAGTGTAATTTTGCTGCTGTTATGAATTGTAATATAAATATCTTTTTTTCAACAGAAACTCTTTTTTTAAAGATTTATTTATTTATTATGAATACAACATTCTGCCTCCATGTATGTCTGCACGCCAGAAGAGGGCACCAGATCTCATTATGGATGGCTGTGAACCACCATGTGGTTGCTGGGAATTGAACTCAGGACCTCTGGAAGAGCAGTCAGTGCTCTTATCCTTTGAGCCATCTCTCCAGCCCTGTAATGTAAATATCTGATATGACCCCAATGGGGTGGAGACCCACAGGTTGAGAATCACAGCCTTAGAGAAAACTGGCTAATACTGTGTGTGTGTGTGTGTGTGTGTGTGTGTGTGTGTGTGTGTGTGTGTGTTCATGCTAGTGCACAGGGAGGCCAGAGTATGACATCAGGTTTTGCTCCCTCTCAGGTGTCATCCACCCTGATGTTTTGCTTTTTTTTTTTTTTTTTTTTCGAGACAGAGTTTCTCTGTGTAGCTTTGGAGCCTGTCCTGGAACTTGCTCTGTAGACCAGGCTGGCCTCGAACTCAGAGATCTGCCTGCCCCTGCCTCTGCCTCTGCCTCCTGAGTGCTGGGACAAAAGGCATGCGCCATCACCGCCCGCGCGCTCGGTATCCACCCATATTTTTGGAAAAAAAAAGGACACTCACTAATTTGAGCTCACCTGGCTGTCTAGGGAACTGCAGGAAGCCTCTCTGCCTTTGCTTCCCCAATACTGAGATCACTTGTGTTCTGGGGATCCAACTTAAGTCCTCATGTTTGCACCTACTGAGCTATCTCCCCAAATCAGTAGTTATTTAAATGTCTACAAACAAAGGGCAAAGCCCTGGGGTACGCACTGAGACTCAAAGTTCTGCATCTCCTCGCTGCAGAAAGGTAGCACAGTTGATGCCACGGCCTTCAAGGAGGCACTTCCCAAGCTAGCTGCCATCTTCTGAGTTGTTTCAGTACTTGCTGACCGTGGAAACCTCGCGGAACCCCTCTCCCAGGCACAGGGGGCTTGTGCACACTAAATTACCTGGCCGGCAGAGGGAGGAGCCTACTTGTGACGTAGGGTCTGGCACGTTCCTTGTTCGTTACAGCGCTGGCTCCTGAGCCTAACGGTGGTCCTGTAGTCACACCTGTGCTGAGGTTTTAGCTGTAGGGTGGGTATACCTTTGCATCCTCAGAGGCGATAGGCAGTGCCTTCATCACCTAGGAAGGAAAGCCTTTCCACAAAGCTTTCCTGTAACTCTGGGGAAAGGAGGAGCCTGCTGGGTAGGAGGAGCCAGCAGGAAGGGAGGAACCTGTCTCCACAGTCCTCTGCTTTACAGAGCTTCTCCTTATTTACACACACTAGCTAAGGAACTCACTAGATTCCCTCCTCCTCTGCCTCCTACGATCTACAAACTCAAGAAATAGCTCCTAGGCCAGGTATGGCGGCACAGGACTGGAACCCCAGCACTCGAGTGGCTCAGGCAGGAGGACCGCCATGAGTTCAAGGCCAACCTAGACTACATAGTGATTCCCTGGCCAGCCCTAGATACAATGTGAAACTGTTTCAACTCCTCTCCTCACCAACAAATAAGTTGTTCAATGTCTTGGCTGAAGAGTTTGTGTCCACTGACATTTTTTTCTACTCTTTAGGTTCAGCATGTCCACCGTCAAGGAGCAGCTAATTCAGAACCTAACTCAAGAAGATAAAACCTCCCGGTGTAAGATCACTGTGGTGGGAGTTGGGAATGTCGGCATGGCGTGTGCTATTAGTATCTTACTGAAGGTAAGCAATAATGCCTTGTGCACAGGAAATTAAAAATAACCTCTTAGGCCAGGGTTGCATGGCTGATCCCTTACTGGGAATATGGAAAATCTGTGATGTTGGCAGATTTTTAAGCATTTGCTAGGTATGGCTGTTGGCACAGGTCCGTAACCCTAGCACTTGGTAGATGGAGGCCAAGAGGGTCAGGAGGTCAAGATCGTCCATAGCTGCAGATCATGTCTGAGGTCAGGCTGGACTATGTGAAACTCTTGGGGAGAATGAGAAGAGGGAAGGGAGGAGAGAAGGAGGAAGGGAAGAGAAGGGGATAAGAGGAGAGGGAGAAACAGGTGTGGTGGCTCACATCACCTGAGCAGCTGGCCTGGGCTCTGGCCATCTGGGCACAGACGCCGTGGTCCTAAGTGTTCCACTGTCCCTTTGATCGTTGTTGGAGACTTGCAGAGGGGGGGTAAGGCGCAACGTCAGCTCAGTTCCAGAACCCGAAGGCTGAGGAATTGCAAGTGCTGGGTGCCTCAGAGGTGGACGTAATGGATGACGAGGAGGAAGTGGAAAGTATCTGAGGAGACAGGAAACGACCAGGTTCTCTTCTGCAATTTAATCGGCCAGGTGGTACTAACCCCGCCCCCCCCAACCCCCCACCTGGCTGTGGAAGTAGTTATCTCTTTTTACTGTGAGTAGACAATTAGAAAGCAGACTGCCAGGGCTTGGGGGAGGTGACTCAGTGTTTACAGCACTTGCCACACAAGTATGAGGACCTGTGTCTGAAGCCCCAGTACCCACGGAAAGCTGGGCATGGTAGTGGCTGGAGTCCCAGCACTTCTACAGAGAAATAGGAAGTGGAGGCAGGAGACCTTCTGGAGGTTCACATGCTAGTTTGGTGTATACAACAGAGATAAAAACAGAGACTCTATTTCAAACCAGGGGGAAGTGAGGGTCCATACCCTCAGTGGTACTGCCTCTGACATGCACATGTGTGCTGTGGCATGTTCACCATGCTGCATGAACAACTGTATACACACATTATCATTCGCAGACACAAAGGTAAAAGTGATAACTTAAGAAATATACAACTGGGGGAATAGAGACCATACAAAAGAGAAACAGATCAGGACTTCAAGTCATGTGTAATTAAAATTTCAGTAGGAAACTAGAAGGGGAAGAAACAGTTACACAACAGAAACTTAACCACATGAGTCTGTAGCCAATCGACTGAGTAATGTCACAACCAACCAATAAAAGGCCCATCCCAGGGCCTGGAGACATGGCCCAATGATTGACATTCTGAGGGTTGGAGACATGGCTCAGTGATTGACATTCCAGGGGCTGGAGACGTGACCCAATGATTGAGAGCACCTCTTGCTCTTGCAGAAGACCTGGGTTTATTTCCCAGAACTACATCAGTAGCTCAGAACTGCCTGCAACTCTAGTTCCAGAAGATCAGCTGCCATCTTCTGGCCTCTGGGCACTGCAAGCATTTGTTACACAGACACACATGCAGGCAAAACACATTCAAACAAACAAAAACCAACAAAAAAAAGGTTTGTGGGTCTGAGGCCAGCCAGAACTTCACAACGAGACCTGGTCTGAAAAGCTCCACCCATGCTCCAGTAAGGATAGGAATCATGACATCTGTGTGCAGGGAGGTGCTCTTTAACACACAACACACAGACAGGACGTGTGTGGGAATGGGAGAAGCACAGGCTGGTCCTTTGTCCACGTCCAGGACAAAGTGGTCATAGCAGCTTTCCCCAGACCGACTGCTATTTTCCTCACCTAGCCATGATGCTCTCTGAAGAAGTGATTCTGGATGCTTAGTCATAACAGAAGCACCTGCATTCAGGGCGTTTCCATCTCCCATTACCTGAATATACCTGTATGAAATTGTATTTAAAAACTTTTTAAGTACTGATAATACAATTTTTTTTTTATTTAAAAAGATCAAGCTGGGTGGTGGTGGCATAGTCCTTTGCTTCCAGCACTTAGGCAGAGGCAGGCAGATCTTTGTGAGTTAAGGCCAGCCTGGTCTATAGAGTGAGTTCTTTTTTTTTTTTCCAAGACAGGGTTTCTCTGTAGCTTTGGCCAGAGTGAGTTCTAAGATAGCCCTCTACACAGAAACTCTGTCTCAAACCGCTCCCCCCACCCCCTATCCCTACCCCCACCAAGAAAACAGAAAGAGGGAAAAAACAATTTTTTCCACGTACGGTGATAAATGCCTGAGGCAGGAGGATTACAAGTTCGAGGTCAGTTTGTACTATATAACAACACTCAAACTATCAGGGCTGGAGAGTGCTTGCCTAGCCCTGGGTTTGATCAATAACACCTGGATTGGTGGCACACCCCTGTAATCCCAGCATGCCAAAGCAGAGGTACGAGGATCAGAAGCTAGTCACCCTCAGCTACATAGTAAGCTTGAGGTCGTCCTGGGGAAGCATGAAACCCCCCGTCTCAAAGCAAAACAAAACAAAAACGGCACGTGCACACATGCACACATGCACACAGAAACTCCTGAAACTTTGCTGTCACTCCAAAGCCAGCGTTTGTAGTTTGCACCTTGTTGGGTTCATCAACAGGTAACAGGAAGCTGAAAGGCAAGAGGCGAGGCCCTAGGCCACGCCCTCCACCTCTGCCACCTGTTCTGGCCACTGCTGTTGACTTGCCATTACCTGCCCTTTTCAGAGGTCACTCCTGGCCTCCAGCTTCTCCCCTTCATCAGCCTTGGCAGAGGAGCCCCCCACCCGTGTTCTTCTTTTTTTTTAAATATTTTATTTATTTATTATGTATACAGTCTTCTGCCTGCATGCCAGCAGAGCTCATTCAAGGTGGTTGTGAGCCACCATGTGGTTGCTGGGAATTGAACTCAAGACCTTTGGAAGAACAGTCAGTGCTGTCACCGCCTGGCACAAAGATTTTTTGTTTTTAATTGTCCTTCTCTAAACACTGCAGTGTATTAGGAACTGAAGAGATGGATGGCTCTGCTGTTAAGAGCACTGACTGTTCTTTCAGGGAACCCAGGTCCCACTCTCAGCACCCAGGAGATTTGATGCCCTCCTCTGGCCTCAGTGGGCACCAGGCAAGAGTGTGCTGACTTAAATGCAGACAAAGTACCCATACCCATAAAATATTTATAAAAGTAAAAACAAAGCAGTATATCAACTATTTGCATAGCATTTCTGTTGTATTAGAAGTAATCTAGAGATTACTAAGTGTGGTGCGAGCAAGTCCAAGGTATCATGAAAAGAAAGACAAGACATCCAGCTGTTTGGACTAAGAGAATGTATGTGCTGCCTTTTTTTCAGGAGTGTGTGTGTGTGTGTGTGTGTGTGTGTGTGTGTCTTTATTGCAAGTGCTAAGAGGTCTCTCTCTTGTAGGAGGGAGCAGCCATATATACAGGTTTCCAGCACAGTGGAAAAACCCCAGGTGGAAGAGAGCATGTTTTCCTCCTGCTAGATGTTGATGTCAGAGTGTCAAGGCCAGGGCAGTAAGCCAGGACTAGAAAACAGGAAGCACTTGGACTGGAAAACAGGTTGCACTTATAGGCTGACCAGCAACTCACAATCTGTAATGAGATCTGGTGCCCTCTTCTGGTGTGCAAGCATACATGCAGGTAGAACATTGTGTATACAATAAAATAAATCTTTAAATTTTTTTTATTTATTACATATACATTGTTCCTGCATGCACTCCAGAAGAGGGCACCTGATCTCATTATAGATGGTTGTGAGCCACCATATGGGTGCTGGTATTTGAACTCAGAACCACTGGAAGAGCAGCCAGTGCTCTTAACCTCTGTGTCATCTCTCCAGCCCCAATAAGTAAATCTTTAAAAGCCAGGTATGTTGTAGTCAAATTTAATCCCAGTTCGTGGAAGGCTGAGGCAGGGGAATCATGAGTTTGAGGTGCACCTGGATCATATAAGCAAGCTTGTCTGCATGACTGGAACCAGCTTGAGGTACTCCTACAGCCTAGAGGACAGGTAAATAAGGCACAGTCTAGGAATAGAGTCCCCTTTCATTTTTAGGCACTGTCTTTCTGTGTGGTGGTAAAGGCAGGTGTTCAGGCCAGGCATGACAAAACACTCCTGTAATCCCAGTATTTTAGGAGGTAGAATGGGGAAGACCAGGAGTTTAAGGCCATCCTCAGCTGCATTGACAATTTGAGGCTGATCTGTCCTATATGAGAACCTGGCACCCTCTTCTGTACTACACACATGTTACACACACACACACACACACACACCACACAAATACCCACATGCAAATAAATGAAAATAATAAAATATAATCTCTAAAAAAATTTTAAAAGACACAAGTCTGTAAAATTCTTTTTTTTTTTTTTTTTGGTTTTTCGAGACAGGGTTTCTCTGTGGCTTTGGAGGCTGTCCTGGAACTCGCTCTGTAGACCAGGCTGGCCTCGAACTCACAGAGATCCGCCTGCCTCTGCCTCCCTAGTACTGGGATTAAAGGCGTGTGCCACCAACGCCCGGCTGTAAAATTCTTACATGTACATTCTACTGTTCACCTGAACTTCTGCTCATTCTGTGAATATTCAGCAACTATATTTTTGTGTCTTCTTTCCTAATTAAAAAACACAAGATTTGCCTGGCAGTGGTTCACACCTTTAATCCCAGCACTAGGGAGACAGAGGTAGGCAGATCTCTGAGTTCAAGGCCAGCCTGGTCTACAGAGCAAGTCCCAGAACAGCCAGGGCCACACAGAGAAACTCTGTCTCAAAAAAAAAAAAAAAAAGCTCCCCCCTCAAAAAAAACAAACAAACAAACAAAAGAAACAAAGTCCCATAAGATTACTTTGGTTATAAAGTGGCCACGTGAAAACTTATCATTATTCTTTCATGCTGGAGATCTGATTCAGACACACACACACACACACACACACACACACTCACACACACACACACACACACACACACACACACACACACACACACACACACACACGGCCAGGCATTTATCCAACCAAGCTCCACCCTCTGCCCTGAGACCCTTCTTAGTCCCCTAAGAGTTTAAAACCACAGCATTTGTAACTTCTGTGTGTTTCAGGATTTGGCCGATGAACTGGCCCTTGTTGACACTGATACCGACAAACTGAAGGGAGAGACGCTGGATCTTCTGCATGGCAGTCTTTTCTTCAACACTTCAAAGATTGTCTCTGGAAAAGGTTGATTTGGGTTTTCCAGTTTTATTTTCAGAGCTTTGTAAGAGATATTCAATTTGTCATGTGTAAAGGTTTGGCTACCTTGTAATCCCAACATTTGGGAAGTAGAGTAGGAGGAGGACCAGGAGTTTAGAACAGCCTTAGCTACATAGTGAGTTTGAGGCCAGCCTGGGCTACATGAAACCCCATCTCAAAAAGTAATCAATTAAAATTAAAAGGTAATCAAAAAGGTAATCAATTTTATCAAACTGACTTCAATAAGTATATAATTAAAAATATCACTAAGCTGGGCAGTGGTGGCACATGTCTATAATCCCAGCATTGGAGAGGCAAAGGCAAGCAGATCTCTGAGTTTGAGGCCAGCCTGGCCTAAAGAGCAAGTTCCAGGACAAGCAGTACTACATAAAGAAACCCTGTATCAAAAAATAACAATATGCATACATACATATCACTGTCATTAGGACATACAATTTAAAGGCTCTTTATTGCTAGATTTTATTTACTTATTTATTTTGAGATAGAATATTTTTTGTTTTGTTTTTTCGAGACCAGATTTCTCTGTGTAATAGCCCTAGCTGTCCTGGAGCTAGCTCTGTAGACCAGGCTGACATTGAACTCACAGAGATCCATTTACCTCTGCCTCTTGAATGCTGGGATTAAAGGCATGTGCCACCACAGGTAGGTAGTAAGCCTTATTTTTTTTAAAGAACATTAAATTACAGTGGGGGAAATTTGGAAGACAGAACTTTACAAAATTCCTTGGGGGCCGGAGATATGCTCAGGGGTTAAGAAGACTCGCTGCTCTTTTAGAGGACCTGGGTTTGGTTCCCAGCACCCACATGGTAACTCACAACTATCTGTAACCCCAGGACCAAGAGATCTGATGCCCGCTCCAGACTCCAAGGCACTGCACACATGCAGGCAAAACACTCCAACACATGAAATAGTAAATGAATAAATCTTAAAAAAACTGGCACTGAAGGCAGTTATTTAATTTCAAAACACCATAAGCATTTCATCTTAACCCAAACATGTAGCTGTCCTTATTAATTAATTTGCCTATCTGTCTGTCTGTCTGTCTGTCTATCTATCATCCGTCTATCATCTATCTATTATTACTATTATTTGTTTTCTACAATATTATTATTATTGGTCTCTCTACGAAGTCCTGGAACTCACTATGTAGACCAAGCTGGCTTCAAATTCACAGAGAGCTTCCTACCTATGCCTTCCAAGTGCTGGGACTACAGAAGTGAACCACCACACCCTACCTATTTTTAGTATTTTTAAAAGGATGTTTATGGCCAGGCATTGGTAACACATGCCTTTAATCCTAGCACTTGGGAGGCAGAGGCAGGCGGATATCTGTGAGTTCGAGGCCAGCCTGGTCTACAGAGAGAGTGCCAGGATAGGCTCCAAAGCTACACAGAGAAGCCCTATCTCGAAAAAACAAAAAAAAATGTGTATATGTATATTTATCAGCATGTAGTTATGTGCACATGAGTGCATGTATCTGCAGAGACCAAAGGCACTGGCTCACCTGGATCTGAAGTTAGAGGAAGTTGGGAGCCACCAGATGTAGTACAGGGAACTGAAGTTGGGTCCTCTAGAAGTGCTTTTAACTGCTGAGCTATCTCTCCAGTCTGAGATGCTGTATTCATTGTGGTGGTTTTATTTTAAAAGTGTGGTAAAGGTCCTTACTACCAAGACTGGTGACCTGAGTTCAATTCCAGGGACCCGTGTGGTAAAATGAGAGGGACAGTTGCCCAAGTTGCTCTTTGACCTGCACATGGATTCTATGGTATGGTGGGCGTGCACGCGCGCACACACACACACACACACACACACCCCACATACAAACACCCCCACACACTCCATACACACATGTAAGCATATGAATAATATGGCTTATATGCTTAGAGGAATTGCTAACTGAAAAAGTATCTAATAATGTTTAATAATGATAAGCAAAGCTTGTGTCCCTGGGGTTGTTTATAGTAAGTGAAATAGTTTCCTGACGGATAATTACATTTAATAAATATAAGTGGTTTATTTATTTGTGTGGATTAAGATGTGACTTATTTGTAATATCAGTATGGTTCCTTGTAATAATTAGAGGTGAATCTGTTCTTGCCTTTAGAATCCTTAAACAGACATGGAAATTCTCAGAGTTCTAAACTTTTTTTTTTTTAATGACAGGGTTTCTTTGGGTAGCTCTGGCTGTCTGGAACTCACTCTGTAGATCAGACTGGCCTCGAATTTACAGAGATTCACCTACATCTGCCTCCCAAGTCCTGGGATTAAAGACATGGGCCACCAACACTGCTTGGCAAGCTCTAGACTTCTAATTCATTTGGGTGTTTCTAAAAAGCCAGGGTGCTGGGCATGTAGTTCAGTGGGTTCAATTCCCAACAACACAAGAAAGCAAAAGACAGAAGCCACAGAGCGGTTGACTTCTTTGCCTCAGGTCTTACTGACAACTAGGAAAGTGGGTTAAAGGGAATAACAGATTGGAGGTGGCTTTATGAAAGCTGGCAAGTGGCTTATGCAAGACGCTACAGCGTGAGGAGCCTGTATGTTTCCAAATCCAGGACGTGGAGGTTAGTCTTCACAGTATGGAGCAGACGCTTACAGAGTGAGGCATGGTGGTTGTCAGTCCTGATCCAAATACTGTCCTCTGTTTCCTTCTTAGATTACAGTGTGTCTGCCAACTCCAAATTAGTTATCATCACAGCCGGTGCTAGGCAGAAGGTGGGGGAAACACGCCTTGACCTGGTCCAGCGTAACGTTGCTATCATGAAATCCATCGTTCCTGGCTTAGTGCAACATAGTCCTGACTGTAAAATGCTGATCGTCTCAAACCCAGGTGAGAACCCTGTCCCCTTTCTGGTGACTGGCCCATACCATTGCATTCCAAACTCTCATCCTAAGGTTGCATTTGTGAGTAATAAGCTTCATTCACTCAAAGTCTGCCATGCCATAAGTTTTGGTAGATGCCACCAGGCTGCCATCACAGTAAGACTGGGGCATCTCTGTCACGGCTGCCGGGCCCTGGGGTCCTTTGTGGTTCACTCCTCCTCCCGCTTGACTTGTTTTTTTCTGGAGCCTTATAAACAGAGAGTACAAACTTTTCTACCCATTCCCTTTTACGGCACAATGATTTTGGGTGCATCTATGCCTAGGACGTGTCGGGGATTTGCGTCTTTGTTTTGCTGGAGTCTTCTGTTTGTGCTTCTGTGTGTGTGCTATGTGACGAGCATGTGTGTGCATCTGCACGCCAGTGTGGAGACCAGAGGTTGGTGTCTTCCTCCACCTCTCTCCAGCATCTTTCACTGAACCTGGAGCTTGCAGTTTTGGCTAGATTCCTGATCACTAAGTTCTTGGACCAATCTATCTCTACGTTCCGGAACCTCACCAGTCCTATTTATGTATGTATTTTTTTTAAAAATCAGATTCCATTCATTATAGATGGTTGTGAGCTGCCATGTGGTTTCTGAGAATTGAACTCGGGTCCTCTGGAAGAGCAGCTAGTGCTCTTAACTGCTGAGCCATCTCACCAGTTCTACACACACACACACACACAAAATTGCAAATAAAATCCTTCCCACCTCCAAGTCTGTTGTTGGTTCTTGAGGTTGTTTTACGGATTTCATGAATCTGTGGTCTGAAGATTTCATTTTACATGGCACAGGAGTTTTCATTGCCCTTAGTGGTCAGTTAATGGCTGGACAGAATTTTCTCTGAATGCTTAAGACCTAAAACGGTTTCCCAGTCCTTGCTGCCCCCCTTCCCCGTGTGAGTCTTCGGTACCCAGCCCAGCAGCTTGGGACGGCGCATAGAGCTTCGACAAAAAAGCAAAATGATGTGGTCTTCCGGTGTTGCTCACACACCCGCAGACTGCTCCGACTGTGTCCACACACCATCCTGGGCAACATGGCGACAGCTCAGGTGGGGAAGTCCAGGAGGCTACACAGGTGGGAACTAACCCATGATTAGATTTGCTGAGAAGCCCATGGAGTGTCTCAGGGGATGCTTTAAGAGTCTACTAGTGAATGGTTTAGCATAAGAAGCCCCGAGTATGCCTGCTTTTCAGATTCCCTGTGCTTTGAACTCTGATGAATCTGCACTCGACTCCAGACAATTTATCTTTTTTATAAAATCAACCGTAAAGAGAAATTACTGTGGCTCTTTTGTCAAACATTGTTTGAAATTGTTCTTCCTAGTGGATATTTTGACTTATGTGGTCTGGAAGATAAGTGGCCTGCCTGCAACTCGTGTAATTGGAAGTGGCTGTAACCTAGATTCTGCCCGTTTCCGTTACTTGATTGGAGAGAAGTTGGGTGTCCACCCTACAAGTTGCCACGGCTGGGTTCTTGGAGAACACGGTGACTCTAGTGGTGAGTGTGACCTAGTCACAGTGTAAGTACCCTTCCAGTGTTTAGTAATGCTTCTCTTCAGAGCCTGCTTTCTGTCAGTATGGCTATATAATTTTCATTTTGTTGTTGTTTTCTTTGGTGTATGTTTTTTTCCTCTTCTATTTGTATGTTTTTCAGACTATTTTATTTGAGCTAGTCATGGTAGTGTCTACCTGGAATCCCAGAACTTCAGAGGTAGGAGCAGGAGGCCAGCCTGGGCTACAAAATAATACCCTGTCTGAAACAATGTAAAGCATGTGTTGATGTGTGATTATACATGTATGGCGAGTACACTGAGATGACTTGGTGCACATGTATGTGACATAGTGATCAAACCAACGTCATCGACTTTGTAGTCACATCTGTCATTCCTTTGTGGTAAGAACATTGAAAACCTGCCTGGCTCGATAGACAATATTTTTAAATTATTTTTATTTTTTTAAATTATGTGTATGCATGCATGTCTGTGTGTGGGCATGTGCACCTGAGTGGAGGTGCCTGCAGAGGCCAGAGGTGTTGCACCCCCTGGACCTGGGGTTCCAGGAGGCTGTGAACTGCCCGATGTGGATGCTGGGAATAGCAGTCAGCACCCGTTCTTCCCCGCTGAGCCTTCTCTCCAGCCAGAGGCCATCCGGCCTTTTCTAAAAGACAGGTCCCCTGAATATCAGGCTGGCCTGAGCCTCGCTCAGTCTCAGCCTGACCGCGGAGTTTGCCCCTCCTGCCTCTGTTTCCCAAGCACTCCATCAGCTGGACTCCGTGCCCAGCACAAGAGCACTGGTTGCTAACTACGGTCTCCTTAGGCTGCAGCAGAGCTCTAGCACTTGTCTCTGGCTTCTGCTTGGAAGACATGGGCCACCCCTCGTCCCTGTCTCCTCCCTTCCCCAGTATCTCGTAACCCCTATCCTGCAGTTTCTCATGTCCACTTTCGTAGATTTCGTAATTAAATGGCATCACTCCACGGTGACTTTCTGTGTCTGGCTTATATTTCTGAACATAACTTCCTGTTTCACTCAGGTCATCACAAATGATTTTTTTTTTTTTTGGCTGTATGGCATGCCCAGTAACGGGATGCTGGATCATGTGGTCATTACGGTTTTAGTTTTTGAGGCACCTCCATGTTGTTTCCCATGGCTGTGCCAACTCGAGTTCCCATCAACAGGGCGCAAGTATCCCCCTTTCTCCATAGCGTTTACTGGCCTTTGGTACCGCCTATCTCTTTGACAGTTGCTACTCTGATTAGGGAGAAAGGAGTCTCACTGTGAATTCATTGCTCTGCCATTAGCTGTTTTTGCTTTTTGTTTTTTTTTTGTTTTTTGTTTTTTTTTTTTTGAGCAGGCAGTGTAACTGGGTAGCCTCTCCACTGAAGACTGGTAACACAGAGACTGCTTCCCTTACCATGTTTTTGTTGTTGTTGTTACTGTTTGTTTTTTGTTTGTTTGTTTTGTTTTGTTTTGAGACAGGGTTTCTCTGTAGCTTTGGAGGCTGTCCTGGAACTAGCTCTGTAGACCAGGCTGGCCTCGAACTCACAGAGATCCGCCTGCCTCTGCCTCCCGAGTGCTGGGATTAAAGGCGTGCGCCACCAACACTGGCTTTCCCTTACCATGTTAAGCATGACTTTGATTTTGGAGTCTGAGGTGATCCTCTTGCCACAGTCTCGCACGTGCCAGGCATATAACAGGAGCCAGCAAGACCGACTCTCCTGGTTTTGACTTACACTTCCATGTCAAGTGATGCCGGGCACACTCCACTATTTATAAAAGTGCATGTTCAAATCTTCGGGACACTTGGCACATCTGCTCGTACTCGTTACTGACACGTTTGAGTTCCTTATGTTCTCTGAACCTTGACCTCTCATCAAATGTAATTTACGGATTATTTTCTTCTGCCCTATACTACACCCCTCTCTGTTATTTGTTGATATAATCCCATTTGTGTCTGTCTGGAGGGGAGGGGCTCTAAGTTGATGTCTGGTGGTTTTCCCCATCACTTTCCACCTCGTGTTTTGAGTCAGGGTCTCTCACTGAACCTGGACCTCTGCCAGTTCTGGTTAGTCCACATAGACAGCTTGCCTGGGGATCCCGTCTCTGCTCTCTTGTTTATACGAAGGTGTTTGGATTTCATCCTGTTCCTCGGAGACAGTTCATATGAGTTTACGTGGCTGCATATTGCCCTCAGCTCTGTTGCTGTGGGGAAGTGTGGTGTAATGGGCAACTCACTCTCTTCTAATAGCATGTTTCTTAGTAATCTTTTTTTTCTGGTCAAATCTGCATTTTGTATACTGCTTTAAAATGTTTGCTGTGGGCGGGCTTTGGTGGCGCATGCCTTTAATTCCAGCACTCGGGAGGCAGAGGCAGGTGGATCTCTGTGAGTTCGAGGCCAGGCTGGACCGACAGCCTCCAAAACAGAGAAACCCTGTCTCATAAAACCAAAACAAATAAATAAATAAAATGTTTACTGTGATATACAGCTATAGGTAATTCAAGTATGTGTTTTCTAATGTTATTTCTTGTGATTTCTCTTTCTGTCCATTTCAAACTTATTCTGGGGGCTGGCAAGATGGATGAGCAATTAAAGAGTGTTCGCTCTTTGCTGTCTGTCTGTCTGTAATGTCAGCTTCAGGAAATCCAACAGCTGCTTCTGGGCTCTGCTGGCATTTATGCGCACAAACCCACGTACAGACACACATGTCCACCTCAGTAAAAATCACAAAAGTGCAAACAAAAATGATAAAAAAGAAAAACCTTGTTTTTATGTATGATGTGCCTTAGCATCCTAACGTTAAAATCCAAACAAAAAAAATGCATCTGGGTGTGGTGGTGAACATTTGTAACGGCAGCACTCAGGAGGCTTGGACAGGAGCATCAGGAGTTCACAGATCTCCTCAGGTACACCGAACGTTTAACACTCTCAACTAATCAAAGCAAGGAGTGGTGATGATGTATACCTAAAATCTAATACTTTGGGGGGGTGGGGAGTGGAGGCAGGAAGATCAGAAGTTTGAGGGTACCTTTGCCTACACATTGAGTTGGAGGCCAGCCAGAGTTATATGATACCCTTTTTTTTTTTTTTTTTTGGATTTTCGAGACAGGGTTTCTCCGTGCCTTTGGAGGCTGTCCTGGAACTAGCTCTTGTAGACCAGGCTGGCCTCAAACTCACAGAGATCCGCCTGCCTCTGCCTCCCAAGTGCTGGGATTAAAGGCGTGCGCCACCAACGCCCGACGATACCCTTTCTTAAAAACAAAACAAGACCTGTCAGTCAACACTAGCCAAGTGTGGCAGCATATGCTTGCCATCCAGCACTAAGGGCAGAGGCAGCAAGATATAAATTTGAAGGTAGCTGGGGCCTTTCTCAAAAAACCCAACCAAACCAAAACAGAACAGTCCCAACTCTGCCCCCAACAAAACACCCCAGCCATCAAACTCAAGCAATCCATTCAGGTTTGGTATAGGAGCCCATGTGGAGAGTTGTGTTATTCTGTTTTGTTTTTCTTAGTGCCCTTATGGAGTGGTGTGAACGTTGCTGGCGTACTTCTGAAGTCACTGAACCCAGCGTTAGGAAGCGACTCAGACCAAGAGCACTGGAAAAAGATCCACAACCAAGTGGTGGAGAGGTGACAGTAGTTCTGTGATTTTTAGTGCCCCAATAGTCGCTATTAAGAATACATCTTGAGGGCAGGAGAGGTGGCTCAGAGGTTAAGAGCACTGACTGCTCTTCCAGAGGTCCTGAGTTCAATTCCCAGCAACTACATGGTGGCTCACAACCATCTGTAATGAGATCTGGTGCCCTCTTCTGGCCTGCAGGCATACATGCAGACAGAACACTATACCTAATAAACAAATCCTTAAAAAAGAATAAATTTTGAGCCAGGTGTTGGTGATGCATGCCTTTAATCCCAGCACTCAGGAGGCAGAGGCAGAGGCAGGTAGATCTCTGTGAGTTCAAAGTCAGCCTGGTCTACAGATTAACTTCTAGGACAGCCAGGTCTACACAGAGAAACCCTGTCTTGAAAAATTAAAATAAAAGTTAATTCCATCTTGTGGTGCATATGTCCTAGTATTCTGACTTCATGATAAAGATGAACTGGTTCTTGTTTTGTTTTGTTTGGTCTCTCTCTGTAGACTAGGCTGACCTAGACCTGTTAGAGATCTGCCTGCCTCTGCCTCCTAGGTGCTTGGATTAAAGGTGTGTGCCACCATACCTGACATTGAATTGATTCTTATTTAAAGTAGTAATGGCATTTTATGAGACTTACTTTTTTGAGACAGGGTCTTATTGTGTATCTCTGGCCTGGAGCTCACAGAGACCCACCTGTGCCCCACCATGCCTGGCTGAGGTCTATTTTTAAAAGATTATAAGCCATACACACTTACAGAAGAACTCAGAGAAGAATGTCATAGACACACAGATGCTTCAGAAGGGACATGCGAGCAACAGTGTTGTCTCTAAGTTGACCTCTCCTGGTTTTGATTTCTTTCGGTGTGCAACCGCAGTGGCTATGAGGTCCTCCGGCTGAAGGGCTATACATCTTGGGCTATTGGGCTGTCCGTGACAGATCTGGCAAGATCAATCCTGAAGAATCTTAGGAGGGTGCATCCCGTTTCCACACTGGTTAAGGTATGTCTGGAGGAAATGTTCATCTGTCACTCCTGGTCACTGGTGTGGTAGAGTGTCAAGTCCCTTCAGAATGAGGCAGGTGACAGAGTTCCCCACAGGAAGGAGCACCGGGAGAGCCCAGGAGTAAGGGGCCCACCCTGTGCTCCCAGGAAAGTGGCAGGGAGTGTGAGGCTGTGGACATGTATGGGGGGTTGGGGTGCACTGTGAGAATCTAGAGACCCGACCCTCAACGCTCGTGCTTATGTTTACAGCCAATGCTCTTCCCTTGCCATCCACAAAGGCAGCCCCAGAGGGGTGAGGGTGAGGCGGACAATGGGAAGAGTTCACTGGGTGTTTCATTGCCCAGGAGTGGCAGTGGGGTAGGTAGTATGGGACGGTAGATGCTGGTCCGGGGCAACAGATTCTGGCTAATGCAGGCAGATGTGTAGGTTGCCCAGACTGCAACAGTGTCTCACAGCTGTTTCCATAGCCTTGGCTTTGGGAGTGAAGAGAATGGTGGGCCACTGACCAGAATGCCACAGCTGAGTAGTGTCTGTGGTTACACCCCTCCCATGTCCCTCTCTACCCTGGAAGCCCTGGGGTGGATCTCTTGGAAAGGTAGACGTTTAGGGATACAGAAGGGCAGGGTTACATCTCAAGGACACGTTCCCACATGCTATGCGCGGTGTGTCCGAGCAGCCCTGGCTTCCACCTCTGGAGACTTGAGAAGCCATCTGTAGCAACTGGTGTCCAAACTCAGTGGTGCCCTCTGTTAAAAGGTACAAAGAAGAGGCTTCCTGGTCAGTCTTAACTGTCCCTTCAGTATACCCAGAGACCGTTTGTTCTCAGCCCTTCGCTGGGTAAAAAGCTCACATAGAGACAGCGCCACACCCTCCCTTCCCTGTAGTCTGTTGAGATGGGGAGGAAAATTTACCTTTCACTGGTCCTTTTAAAGGTTTCTGGCACATTCTTCTTGTCACGGACCATCCATGCGGTCCAGGACAAAGATGGCTCTGGCTTCTGCCAAAGATCACTCTGACTTCTGAGTAGCTCTGCTTGGTGCCGTCATGAACTGTGCCCCAAGAAAGCATGAAGCTTTCTTGCATTGTGCCAAGGGAACCAAACAATGTTGTGACCTTGCATTTCAGGGCTTATATGAGATAAAGGAAGAAATCTTTCTCAGCATTCCTTGTATCTTGGGACAAAACGGCATCACAGACATTGTGAAAGTGAACCTGAATCCCGAGGAGGAGGCCCTTCTCAGGAAGAGTGCGGAAACACTCTGGAACGTCCAAAAGGACCTCAAATTGTAAAGTTTCAGAATTCGACTGCTGAGCAGATATGTGATTGCGTATTGCACATCTCAAACCTTTCCAAATAATAAATAGTTGAACAAACTATCAGAGACCTATGACATAACAGCATCCTGTTGAGATGAGACAGACACAGACGTTTCCTCCTTCCCCTCTCTTCGCTACAGAGCCCTGGCTGCCTGGAGCTGCAGACTCAGCTCGCCTCAGAGATCTGCTAACCTCGAAGTTAAGGGCGTGCACCACCATGACCAGCTGAAGTCTCTGCCTTTTTCTAAGTCCCTTGTAAGTTTAGCAATGAAGTCTGTACAGGGTGACATCATGTTTCTAAGGAACCAGTGAGTGAGTAGCTCCCAACTTCACCAGAGCACGTATTGACAACTCATTGCAACATGGAACCGTGTTCTCCCAACTTCACCAGAGCACGTATTGACAACTCATTGCCACATGGAACCGTGTTCTCCCAACCCAGGGAACCCTCCTCCTGTCTCTGAAGTGTGGTTTCTTCTGTTGCCTGTTCACATTGCTTCACTAGCTCCCATGGCTATGTAGAAATATTTAATAAAAAGTAATGCTTTTTAACTGAATACAAGATCATGTATATCACGGGGCTAGAGAGGATGGCTCAGGGGTTAAGAGTACTTGCTGCCTTTCCAAAGGGTTGTGGTTTTGTTTGGTCCCCAGCACCCAAATGGCGGCTGACAACTCTCTGACTCCCTCATCACCAGGCACACACACAGGCAGGTGAAACATTCATAGACAGAAAACAATAAAGCTTTAAAAAAAAAAGAAGATATGTATATGCAACAAGTGGGGTAGGGATGGGCAGGATGATGCCAGCGCCCAGGACACAGAGGAAGGAAGGGGGTTTGTTCAACAAACCGCTTCTCCATTGCTGTGCCGCAGTCTTTGGGGTGCTTCAACGAATGATTGAAAACTAATGCTAGAGAGCTGTCAGTCCCTTCCCCTTGACATCCGAGTGGGAATGCGTGGGCTGTTCCTGATTTACACACGCGTGCCATTTCCTTGATTCCATGAAGAATTTGAAGCAGATGCTGGAAATATACAAAGAAAAACTCAGAAACCAAGCGCAAGATGGCACGCCAGTAGGGCAGGACCCATCAGAAAACAAGATAGATTCATGGGCCCTGAGGCCGCCTGCGTCCTAGTGATGCTCCCGCTGGTCAGTTGTCGTTTGGCTGCTCAGCCTGTTACACCCTCATGGCCTTGCTGTCCTGCTGCCTAACATGTTCATGTACTCATCTAGTGAACATTGCATCATTTTCTTCCTTGGATGCAGAACATATTTACTGCTGTCTCGGCGGGGTTGGGGGGGCAGCCTCCAGCAGCACAGGACTTTGACAGAAATCCAGAGTCAGCGAGACTAAACTTTTCTGAGGGGAGTTATGGAAAAAGGCAATCACAAACTTGATTTCCTTCTTTATTGTCTTCCTTATTCTCTATTTTCTCTCTGGCTTTTTATGTTTTTTTCACAGCCTTTTTTGTTTTTACAAATATTGTTTATTTTAATGAAGTTGGTACAGTCGATGTCCCTTGAAAACCCATGTCCCAGGCCAAAAAGTACAAACAGAATCAAAAGGAGCAGTGTCTGTTGCATACACTTCTGCATGAGTTACTGCTGATGAAATTCATTACAGCTTTCCTGGGATCTTCAGACAGCCTGTCTTACTTTTAGGATGCTTCTTTCTCTCCAGTGAAGCCATCTTTGGAGTTAGTGTTACTCTCATTGTATCCGTCATCTTGACTACAAATGTGATATTCTTCTTTTGGTCCAGACCCTCATATTTGTTTTTTTGTTTTTTTTCGAGACAGGGTTTCTCTGTGGCTTTGGAGGCTGTCCTGGAACTCACTTTGTAGACCAGGCTGGCCTCGAACTCACAGAGATCTGCCTGCCTCTGCCTCCCGAGTGCTGGGATTAAAGTCGTGCGCCACCACCGCCCGGCTCCAGTTCTTTTGGAGTATGATTATCAGCAATTCTCTGACCTTCAAAGAGAAACCTGAGTTTCTGGGCCTCACTGGGACTCCTTTTGGGTATCCTATTATTGCCGTGTGTCAGGGAGATCCTATAGCTTTGGGTCTTGAGGACCCGCCCCTTCACATGCTTCTGCAGTTCATAGATGGGGTGGATGTTGGGGTGGAGGGGTTCCTTTAGTCCTGGTTCTGGGCGTGGGTGGCAGCTGGGTTGCCCAGCTCACCAGCTGTCCATCCCCCTCGCCACCTCAGTGAGCTCTCCAGTACCGCCCTGGCTAGCTCACTCAGTGTAGAAGGCTGCGAGGAGGAGGGCCGGCTCTCTGGCTCTCACACTCTTGGTTCGGCACACCAGCACTCGGGTTTTGCTTTCTTTCTCCAGCCCGCGTGTTTGTTTCTTTTATGTCCAGTTGACATTAGCTCGAGTAGTCTGGAAAGACAGAACCCCCACTGAGAAAATATGCCCGTCATACTGGTCTTTAGACAAGTTTGTAAAAATTAATGAGTTTTACAGAAGATCCCAACCTGCTGTGAGTGCCGCTTAGTCAGTTGACCCTGGGTTGTATAAAAAGCAGGCTGAGTGAGCCAAGAGGAACAAGCGAATAAACAGCATTCTTCCATTGTCTCTGCTTCAGCTCCTTCCTCCTGCTCCCTGCCTTGAGTTCGGGTCCCCGCTTCCCTTCTACATTTAACCATGTGTCTCTCTAAAACTTTAGGTTGTCTAACTTTGCACTCAGAGACCTGTGAACACATCTCCCAACATTAAGGTTAAAAGAATCTACACTAGCAGGGCTACTGGAACTCAGTTGTTAATCCTTAACTTGAGCTACAATCCATTCAGCTCCTTAGGTGCAATTCACAGACCTGGGCTGTGAAATATATCCTTGTATTTATTTTTATTCACTAAAACTCTGTATAAGCTATCATTATCAAATTAGACAGTACAGATTAGGGAGGTGGCATCTTCTTGACAACCCACAGGTAAAAATGCTTAGAACGGGATGTTTCCAAGAGACAGACACACTATATTCCAGGCAGTGAAGTTCTCCCCATGTCCACCCACACCATGCTTGATACCGGAGAAAGAGAGCTGCAGCAAGCGTGTAAAGTCACAGCAGAAACAAAAGACACCCCAGGGACTGCAGTCCCGTGACCTTGCCTAAATGAGATTGATTGGTGGGCTGACACCTGGAACTTCAGTTTGCAATTTTACTACTCCTGTGGCATGGCCAACGGCATGTATAGTTATTAAAACAAGTGTAAAGAATCTTCTGTGGACCTTGCCTTTTTAATGATTTTTTTCTTTGTGTGTGTGTGTGTGTGTGTGTGTGTGCGCGCGCGCGTGCACGTGCACGTGCGTGTGTGTGTGTGTGTGTGTGCGCGTGCACGTGCGTGTGTGTGCATTTGTCTGTGCGTGCTTGGTTGTCAGTACATGCACCACATACATGCAGGTAAGTGAAGCATGGATCTCCTGGAGCTAGAGTTAAAGGAAATCATGAGCTACCTGAAGTGAGTGCTGGGACCAGAACCAGGTTCTCTGTAAGAGCAGCGCGTGCTCTTAACTGCCAAACCACTTCTCCAGTCACTTAAAAAGGCCTTTTTTTTTTTTTTTTTTTTTTGGTTTTTTTCGAGACAGGGTTTCTCTTAAAAAGGCCTTTTGTCCACCAAATTAAAACCACTTTAGGATGAGCCCTGATTGACTATCCAATACCAAATGGTCAACCCTAAAAAATTACACATGTGCCGGGCGTTGGTGGCACACGCCTTTATTCCCAGCACTCAGCAGACAGAGGCAGGCGGATCTCTCTGAGTTCGAGGCCAGCCTGGTCTACAAGAGCACGTTCCAGGATAGCCTCCAAAAATAATACAGAGAAACCCTGTATTGGAAAAAAAAATTATGCATGCAAGCAACTCATCGGGTTGAATTTGCTTATTTGTGCATATGTGTAGTAAGAATGGTTGAGGAGGAGGAGGCCTGGGGCTTCAGAGTTGACTCAGCCATGGTTTCCAGCAGCCACGTTGTTTGCAACTGGCTGTTAACTCCAGTTCTGGGAACTTGGATGCCCTCTGCTGGCCGCCTGGAGGCATTGCACCATGCAAGGTAAAAGCTAGATTAACAATTGTGTGTTTGTGTGTTGGTATTAGTCGACTGTGCTATTTAGTTTCAACTTGACACAAGCTGGAGTCACCTGAGAGGAGGGACCCTCAACTGAGAAACTGCCTCTGTAAGACTGGGCTGTAGGCAAGCCTGTGGGACATTTTCTTTTTTAAAATTAATTTTATGTGCATTGGTATTTTTCCTGCCTATGTGAGGTTGTTGGATCCTGGAGTGACAGGCAGGCGTGAGCTGTCATTGGGCCTGGGAATTGAACCTGTGGAAGAAGAGTCAGTGCTCTTAACTGCTGAGCCATCTCTCCAGCTCCCAGGGCTTTTCTTAATTAGTGATTGATGGGGGATTAATCAGCCAATTGTGGGTGGTGCCACCCCTGGGAAAATGATCTTGGGTACAATGAGAAAATGGGCTAAGGGCTGGAGAGGTGGCTCAGAGGTTAGGAGCACCTACTGCTCTTCCAGGGGTCCTGAGTTCAATTCCCAGCAGCCACATGGTGGCTCACAACCATCTGTGTATTTATCACATATACATGGCATGTAGGCGGGAACACTGTATATGTGATAAATAAATAAATCTTTTTAAAAATGGGCTAAGCCAATAAGCAGCATCCTTCCAAGGCCTCTGCATCAGCTCTTGCCTCCAGGTTCCTGCTCTGTCTGAGTTCCTGTCCTGACTCCTTCACTTATGAACAGTGCTGTGGAAGTGTAAACAAAATAAAACCTTTTCTCTCCAAGTTGCTTTTGGCTATGGTGTTTCACCACCGCAATATTAAACTAAGGCACTGTCTTAACTGCTAGGCTATGTCGTCAGCAACCTCTCCCCCATTCTTTGCGTTTATTCATGGAATGCAGCCTGCCTTTACACTGCCTTTTTGTAGACTTTCACACTGGCATGATTACTAAAGGACAGGCTAGATGTCATAAGCATTCACAAAGAGCTATTAATTTTATGTTTATGGATGTTTCATCTGTGTGTATGTGTGTGCACCACATGTAGTGCTTGTGGAGGCCAGAAGGGGGTGCCAGATCCCCTGGGACTGGAGTTACTACAGATGGTCATGAGTTGCCATGTGGGTGCTGGGCATCGAACCTGGGTCCTCCGTAACAGCAGCCAATGCCACCCCAGGCATCTCCCCATTTTGTCACAGGCACTCACATGGCAGCAAAAGCAGCCGCTGTGGGGACTGGAGAGATGCTCAGTGGTTCAGGTGAGAGTTTGGATCCCATAACATGACAGACAGCTCACAACCACTTACCAGCTGGTCTCCGTGGGCACCCGCACTCAGGGTACACGGGCACCCCCAAAATAAGTCATTCTACTAGCTGCTGTGGTCAGCGGCTGGGCCTGCCACTCACCGAGTTGCTGTGACTCGGCTGATAGTGCCGGTGCTGTTGTCACCAGCAGTGTCCTCACGGTGAACGGAGAGCACCGGTGAAAATCAGCACTCGGATGACCACATGCTTGTGTATTTTATCCAGTACAGCA